CGTTAGATCTAACTTCACATTTTTTGATGAGCTTTGGGTATATGTTAGAAATGAGCAGCAGGGGGTCCACAGAAGCGAGTAAAGTTTTGAAAGGGGTTCTACGAGAAAAAAGTTTGGGAACCTCTGATTTAGATTAATTAAAATTTGAAATAACTGTTTGCGTAATAAGGATTGCATATACATACATATGTTGGTTCATACTTACATTCACACAAACCTTCAACAACAAATGTGTGGACATAGAGAATTTTTTAAAAAATTTTGCAAACTTGCAGTTGCAATTTTTTCCGCTGATTTTTTACAAAAAATATTGTTAATACTAAGACAAAAAACATGTAAATAAAATTTCTAAACTTTGTGCAAAACTCAGGAAAATTAATTAATTTTCAGCTTTTGCTGAAAAATGTCGAATATTGCTGTTTTTCGCTCGGTGTCATGCATTAAAAATCGGCGAGATTTTGTAGAAAAGTCCAGCGAAAAATTTTCTTAAACAAATCTGATTAGAAGGCTGAAAATTCGTTGCAAAATTGATTAAAACATCTGGAATTTTGCATGAAATTCACCATACATTCGTGAAACCTAGTTAATCGGTGCATATTAAGGTGTTGAAAAAAAACCCACAATTATGCTGACTTTAAGGCCCTTATTATGATTCATAACTGTCAAGATAGTTGAGTTGTAAGTTGTAAATTGGTATTGTGGGACACAACTCAACTCAACTTTGAAAACGTAGTTGTCCTTTAGTTAGTAGCACTAGCATCCCCGGGCTCATCGGTAAAATATAATTCGTAACTGATTTCTTTTTTTTTTGCTTTTAATTATTTTAATATCATTAACATAACGTAATATTATGGAAATAACAAAATTTTTATTGAATTTGCGAATTTTTCAATGACTACAGTCAATTGAAAACAGTTGTGAACGGCAATAGCAATAAATAGTTGGAGTTGTATACAAGTTGAGTTGTCTAAGACACAACTCAGCAAAGTTGAAAATGTAATGAGTGTCTAGCGCAGAATTGTTATTAATAAATAACACTACTTAAAATCCGCTACCACTACTTAAGAACCGCTTGCTAGCCTAATATGTAATGACATTACACTATTTCTAGTTTAGGTCTTTCGCCAATATAATTTTCCGCAAGTATTGAAATCTCATCGGTCCAGAGCTCCTCTTGATAATATACTAATGTACATGCATAGTTATGCACTTTCAGGTCCCATTGCTTCGTGGTAGCAATAAGACTATTTAAATTAGTTAGATATGCTCGGTACAAAGGCTTTTGTACAGTTTTCGAGTTAGATACTTGTATTATAGTTTTAATTCAGGTGACCCCAATATCTATGTTCTGGTCGTAGCAGTTGTGCACAACCTGTCGTTATTCGGGTTTCATAAAAATGCATATTTAAGTATGTGATCTGCCACTTGCTCCAAAATTAACGCACACTTGCAGTCGCAAACATTGATAAACAGACGCTGCTGACTTCAGTGAGTCCTTAGACCGAATAGATTGTAGTGATCCCTCCGATCTCCATACCTTACTGCCGGAACAGAAGGCTCCAAACTAGTTGATTACCGCATATCTTACGTGGGTTGCTTATGTTTCCTCCAGTCCGTGAATGGGGACGCAAGAATCGGTATTGAGTATAGCCTTGCAACTGTAACTGCGTCAAAATAGGAGCTAACATAACTTTTAGCTCCGTCCCTTCTTGAGGACCCCTCTACGTAGTTCAGGACCAAATGCGGGGCCTCACTTTATTCAATCTGATGCTGGAAAGCGTAGTACACAATCCTTGTTTGAATCGCAGCGTCACTAATGTATAGTTATAACGCGATGATTGCAGGCGATATTGACATCATCGGCCCAAACTTCAGGATCATCAGCGTAGCCTTCTCCAGCTTGTAGAAGGGGACAAAGGTGGCAAAAGAAATAAAGCCAGAGGATCTCCTGGCAATGCATTCATAGTTTTTTATGTCTTTACCTACCTAGGATACAGCATTCACACCAGAAAGGATATTGGCCTGCAGATCAAGCTGCAAAAATTATTTCGTTATAAAACTAACAAAGGTGTGTTTAAGAAATTTATAAAAAAATAACAAATTAATGCATTAAATGCATTTTTATTACCATTTTTACGTTTTGAAATCAAGTTCCAAGTAAATTATTTGAATGTCATCTACGAGTGGGACAGTTGTCAGAGGTAGGTTTAAAGGGCTGATAAGCTTTGATTGTTTGTTGAGGTGGACTATATACCCTTGTGGTTTGTGTCTGATTAAGTTAAGTGACATTTTAACAAATTTTGGTTTTTCTCTTGTTTATTTAGTATTTATAGTTTTTTTTTTATAGAAGTCTAGCACATTACATAACCAGAACCACATAAATCCACATTTCAAACGTCGTACAAAAAATTTAAAAATTCAACAAACTTTAATAATTACACCAAAAAATGTTAAACTTTTTGTTAAGAATTTAAAAAAAAATTATAAATTTAGCTAGGTAAAAGTGAAATTTTCAAGACGCTTGGAAATTGCTTTGATTTTTAATTTTTTTCTTTTGGCTGATGGTGCTAGGCATTTTCTTTCATATAAAATGCACTATCCTAAGATAAAATGTGAGTGATTTGAGCCCCTACTTGACTTGGACCAAACTAAAAGCTCCTATTCATATAAAAATTAATTCGCACGTGTCCCACCCGTGACAAAGGTTGTCCCACCCGTGATTTTTTATAATAAAGAACTGATTTTGGTAGTTGTTTTTGCTTTTTTTGTATTCGTGGTTCTTCGTTTTATTATAAGACATCGAGTTCGCACAGAAAAGTGAAATAAATTAGCAGAGTTCCCGTAAAATATGTATATCTGCTCCCAAAAGCAGGTTCTTTTTTGTCGCACCCATGATTTATTCCATATAAAAGTAAGCTGGATTTTTTTCGTATTTTGTAAAAACTCACATATTTAATAGTCAGTTAGGTGTAGCTTTATCAAAATTTAGAATTGTTGAGTACTTTGTACTTAAATTTAAACAAGAAAGAGCATATTTTCTGTGTAAATGTCCCACCCGTGATGGTGGAATCGCCCTTATATGGCTCCGAAATGTGGACACGGCCAACAAAGATGAAAGGCTCTGGTGCAAATAATTCTATGCAAGACCTATGCCCTGTTTGCATTGGCAATGTATACCAAGGAATATGGGCCTATATATGTATATGCTATACGAGCTTTATAATCACATGAAAATAGTCAAACACAATGATAGCACTCGCTTGGAGGAGTCGTATGTTTGGAAGATGACGCTCCGTAAAAATTATATTTTGACCCGATACGAACCAGTGGACAACGAAAGCAATGGCAACAATGGGTATAACAAAAGAACCAAGCGCGGGCAGAAGGACAACTTGTGTGACTCTGCAGAGGGAAGAGCCTGTTGGCAACATTTTATGTTTCGATCCCAATAAGAGAAGGTTTGTAAGGAGAGCTTTATATACGCCCATTAAGATCAGGATTGAACATTTCAAAGGAGCAAGCCCGAGATTTTTTTTTTTAACTTTTCGTACGTAGAATATCGAGGGACACCTAACAAATAGGTTTTGGGAGCAACACTAATTAAGATCTTAGAACAAAATGATTTTTTTTTTCAAGAATGGTGTCCACGCACTTATAGTACGTTCCCATTCCTAATTCGTTCGTCATTCAGAAATAGCTCTTTCATGAAATATCGACATTTGCGTAGGTATGTATGTACATATGTACAGTGGCGGTCAAAAGTGGATGGTTGGTGTGTTACGTATTTAATATTTACAATGTTTTTCAAGCTATTATTTTTTTTATAAAAATGTGGTACATGCTTAAACAAAACTATATAAATCTCACTTTCAAATTCATGCAGAATTTAGAAAAAATACACAAGTTTTTATCTAAATTTCGAGCTTTTCAATCAGAAATTTCGAAAAAAGTTCGAAATTTAGATAAAAATGTGTGAAATTTTTCAAAATTCTGTATAAATTTTGAAAGTGTGATTTATATGGTTTTTGTTAAAGCATGACCCATAAAAAAAATAGATATAAAAAAAATCTACCTTAAAAAACATTGTAAATATTAAAACCGAAACACCCTTCTTCCATTTTAACCGCCACTGTATATGTAGGTCGCTATGCGCAGCTTTCGGAACGAAATAACTCATTTCTAAATAATTTCAATGCCATCATCGGCAACGAAATTTGTCTGGGGAATTATTGAATTTAGTTGTCAAATAAGAAGCGACAATGCAGAGAGAAAGAAACAATACGATGAAATATATGAAAGAAGGAGAAACGTGTTTGGCGGAGCTCCCTTGTATATACATACGTACATATCGTCACCTGAAAACCATAAAGACGTAACACACATCGTCGCTGAAATGCAAACAGTCGTAACTTATAAAAAATTCCAAATTCACTTTTTCATTGATATGATGGATTTCATCGAACTACCACTCTACCCATCGTTTTATGAAAAAAAAAAATTTTGTCACAACTTTTTCCATTTCAGTGACGATCTTTTTGCATTTCAGATGACGATATGTATATATCGTAATATGTATACAGATGAGCAGTCAAATTAGCGAGTTACACGGAGTTGAGGGGTAAATGCATATACATACATATTTTATCTTTAGTATATTGTTTGTTGTAGAGGTTTTATCGTCGTTTAAAGTACAAAACCGCGTAACTGACAGTTGCTGCCGAAAATTGGATTTGCTCACACAAGCTCTTAGCTCAATCCATATCCACTCGCCCTGAAATATATCAGCCAGAAATGCGATATTTTTATAAAAAGGGAAACCATTTTGAAATATAAGTGTTTTTACGCTCTAGAAAATAGTTTATGCAACCTCACATACGCGTTTTTGTACTTTAAACGACGTTATGATTGCTTGTTTCCTTCAAAACACACGCAGTTTTTTTTTTATATTTTTGTAGTTTTTTTGCTTTTATTAATTTTCATTTTATTTGTATTCTATTTAATTTACTTAATCTATTAACTCAGAAACATAATTTTTTGTTGTTTTCTATTTTAGTTTTAAATTGTATTACTAACACACTGTGCTTTCTGTTGAAATTCTTTTGAGAAATATGCGATTTTTGTTTTGCTCGTTGACCTGCACATTTTGTAGACTTTTAAATTTGTCACACACACATACGCATACAAACTTGCCACTTACTTAGTCGCTAAACTTAAGCATTAATTACATACATTTTTACTGTACATAACTCTATTTTTGTAAATAAGCACTAATTTCGTTTCAAAATTTTTTGCTTTCAAATGCTAAATATTTACAAAGTCTGCTTTTGACCGTTCCTTTTTTGCTTTCTTTGTTTTGCATATGCGCTAATTATTTACACAATTTCCTTGCCTTGAATTAAGAACTATGCTTAATTTTTAAATCTACATTTTTTACGAATATTTATACATACATAACTTTGTTTCTGGGCTTTTTCTCAATTCTTTATTTTAACCTCGAAATTTCTTTGATTTGTTATCAGTTCACAATTTTGTTGTTGTTGTTTTATTTTTTTACCTTACTTACTGCTGCTTTACTTTAGGGATTTTCGCTTTGTTTGGAAGATATTTTTGATTTTCTTCATTTGCATTTCACATTTTTACAAATTGGAGCATATTTGCTACATACATATTCTAAGTAATGTTTAATTTGGGGTATAAATATTTCAAATGATAAGGCAAATAGTTGTACAAAAGTAAGTGAAACAAGTAATTTAAAAAATTTTATTTTAAGCGCAAGCTTTTATTATTTGTGCTAAAAAAAAGGGAGGATTAAATCGACCTGCACCACCTAATGGCTAAATTTTTTGTGGAGTTATTTATTTTTTTTCGCTTTAAGTAATATGTATGCCAAATATGAACCATATCGGAGCATGAATACTGACTATTCAAATATCTTGACTTCTGCGCCACCTAGCGGATTAATTCGTTTTCAATATTTCTCATTTTCATCGGATTCTGAGATAAGTTTGAAGTTACAAGTCTATAGCACATCGAAAAGTTGGTAAAAAGTTGATTGCAAGATTTAATTCTGCGCAGGTGCAACGTAATAAAAGCTAGTATTTAAAAAGGCATTAATCGAAGTATTTTTTTACAATAGAGGTTGCAAATGAAAAACAAAAATATAATCGAAAAACTTGAACTCTCTATGAAAGAAATATTTTTAATTTCAGATAAATACCTATAAGTTTATTCAGAGGAAATAAAGTAGCTTTAAAAAGCTTTATAAATTGATGTTTTCATAGATTTTTCTACTTATAAACCTTTCGCAAGGCTACTTAATTTTTTATGAATAAGGCTACTAGCCTATAGATGTGGAAATTTTCAAGAAAAAATTTAGCTAATAAAATTATTAAAAGTCGAAAAGTGTTCTTCCAATTATATCAAATATTGGATAGTCGAAAAAATGCGTATGGATTTGGCAACATTACGTGCGGATTCATATTCGAGGTAATACAAATTTCATCGACGTTTGAAAGTTCCATTTTGCGTTCCTTAAAAAAAATTGACTTCAATTATTTTAGTCAAAATTAATTGTGGTTTGAGAGTAGGTGCATTAATAGGGAGATTCATGCCAGAAAATGCTGATAATATGTAATTGCTTCCCTTTCGTTCTGGAAGTCACGTTAATGAAGATATCCGAACCTCAGGTTGAAATAGAAAATTCGATCACCTTTACAAATTACACATATTTTTGTTAGGTTCTTTTGGATTCGGATGTATAAATCCTCACGAAGTTTTTCGACTACCCAATATTATTTCTTCTCATTTATTCCTTTTGTTATTAACATTAAAAAAATGTGGAACTTTGATATCTGCCTTAAAGCAATAGTAAGAAAAGGAATTCCAAACAAATGTTCACTGGTGTTGGTCTGTCCATTTATTTATTTTTATTGAGCTATAAAAATGGATATTAGGTCTTGATAAATGCAAAAAATATTATTAAGCGATTTTCTAAAGAATTGAGTGATTTGGACGTGTAGTTTTCAAACTCCGTCAGGTTTAACTAAACCAAAATAAAAAAAAAATTATTAAAACATAAGTGAGACTAGAAACATTCTATAATATACATAACTACTCAACACACATGCAATTGCGCTGTTTAAGCATCAAACAAAAAACATTCATACAAACATTTTGAGACTCATGCTTTCGCTCAATTTTTTTTTGTGGACACAAAACATTAAATGACGACAACTAAACTGGACGTTAACATTTGGACTCGTCATTATAAGTTGCGATTTACAAAAATAATATCCATAAAACCAAGAACACACACATATACATGTGTATTTGAGTGTGTGTGGGTATAAAGTACTTAGTCTAATAGTTCACTAAGCTTAAAAGCTACTACCAAATTGGCGGAGGTGGCAACGCTGCAGCGGGGGGGGTTGAATTTTTGGCTAGACTCGTGCGTTTTTTTTTGCACTAAACAATTTTGTCTTCCACAGTTTGTTTGATATTCAAATCTTCGAGCCCAGCTACCAAACTTCAAACGCCTGCCGCAATCTGCGCGCGCTCCAAACTGCCCGCCAATCGGCTACCGCTCGCAGATATATTTATGTACGTACTCTTAACCGCTAATATTGCTATACACGCGCTTCAAGTTCCTCGCTCTTCGCCAAGAAGAGCAAAGCCTTATACACATACAACAGAAATCGGGCGCTAAGCTAATCAATATACCTATTTGCTTGTAACGCTGAGCTTAAGCTATCTATGTACACATACAGAGGCGAAATATATAGAAATCAAAATGTTCTCTTTAGCATTTAGTACATCACATCACATCTATTTGATTAATTAATTTAAATTAGCTTAGTGAATTCTGAATTAGCAAAAGCCTAATTGTAAATATTTATATTACTACATACATAATTAATATTTACAGCATCCATTCTGCATGGCATTCGCCCATGCGCCGCTTCCGCGCGCGTGCTCACTTTACACATGCAACGTCTGCGAGTTCGACGCCGCTGAGGCCAGTCCACCGCAGCTCACCGCCAACGTCGTTGTATTTTTGGGCACCGCGGCAGCTGTCGCCGTCGCTGCGCCTTGCTTAGCTACCTGGGGCACTTGGCTTGGCAGCAGCTCGTTGTGTATGAGCACCTCTTTGTCGAGAGCGCGAGCACCGGCGGGCGCCTGCTTGTGCCCCACTTTCCGCCGCAGTACCGCGTAGATCGCGAACATCATGATGAAGAGCAGCGCGGAGCCAATCATGGCGGTGACGCGGTTTGCTGTGAGGTAATCCGCTGGCCGCTCGCTCGCCAGCTTGACGCGCAACACGGAATTGTGGTGGGCGGGGTGTTCGTTTGACGTTTGGCTGCGTGTGGTGGTAGCGGGCTTTGTGGCGTCCGATGTGGTGGATGACGTTGTTGCAGTACTGCTGCTGCTGCTGGAGCGGCTGGATGATGCAAAGTTGGCATTTGGATTGTAGGGGCTGAGGAAATCCTTGGAGCTGTCTTTCAGTATGCGCATGCGCGAGTCCGTTTCGCCCGAGTTGGCGCCTATGTCCGTCGCGCCGGCTGCGCCATACAAATGCGGCATCATGCCCTCCTTGCTGGCCATGTTGCCCGTTTCCAGGGTGATTGCTTGCATGCCGGTAACAGTGCTGTCGCTCAGCTTGTGCGTGTCCACGATCAGTTTGTACGAACGTCGCATGCCGCCAGTCTCCTGCGAAACGAGAGCGAAAACAAAGGAAAACAGAAAAGTTAAAAATTAGTAAAATTACGAAAATTGGAAAAAGATTGTTTCAGGGAAGGAAGGAGTGGAAATCTCTATAGAAAATCAAAATAATTGCGCCAATTTTTGTGGTATTGCACGTGCGGCCGTGCTTCGTCTTTGCCTTCGCTTGCGTTTTTTGCTTGCCTGTCAGCTTGACTGCTTGTAAAAATGTTAACAAATTAATTTACAAATGCAATGCAACGACAACAAGCGCTTATTGCCTGTTGCCTGTTGCATGTTGCATGTTTCATGTGGGTATGTTGCCGGCGGTACACGCATGTGTTATGTGTTGCACACACATCATTTTTTCCAGCTCATTTTGCAGCCGCTCACATGTGCCACCACCACTGCCGCGCGCCAGTTGCAAGTTCCAACAAGCCAATCGATCAATATTTTGCGTTGCTCGCCTTGTTGCACGCTGTCAATTAGTGTACAAATATTGAAAGAAACAACCAAAGAGAATCGCTGTTGTTGTCTGTTCGACAATTTGCGTCAGCATTGCAGCGTTGCACGCGCAACACGAAAGAATGTAGCAAATCATTTATAATTGCGTGTCTTTTCACGGACCTGGGGATGCCACTAATCACACTGGTAGCCAGGCACGCAATGCAAGCGGCGATGATTGAGCAGAAAGGAGGCGAGGATAGGAGGCGTACGACGAGAGAGAGCAGCACGGCAGGCAACCAGGTGGAAAATTAGAGAAGTGACTTAATCGCCTCATTCGACGTACGATCGGGGAAATACTGTGTACGAATGCGAATGCCAAAAAAAAACCAAGAGTGTACAACATTGGACACTTTCTTGAAGTAACACTTTTCCCATATAATTTTTAAAGGTTTTTTCGCCAAAATTTTGTGGCAGTTAAAAGACAGAAATCTTGCCTCGCAAATTGGCTTAACACTTATCAATCCTCGATCCATCAACTTGTATCCTTGCCACTGGGTTTCTGGGGCATTTACAGCCCAATAAAACTACTCAGCCGGCGTGCGATTTAAAAAGCAACTCACAAGAGCGCTCTAGCTTTCAGCGTAACAAAGCCACTTCAACTGCAGCTTGCAAGGTAGCGAGAGTGATTACCCACCCGTTTGCGTCTGCAGTTGGCGAAAACTGCAGCAACACATGTATATGTATGTATATAATATGTGTTTGCTGCGATCGCATGTGATCATGAAATTTTTTTTTGTTCGCCGTATGCAGCGATCGCAACGAAAAGTGTCTTAGGAAAAAGATCGTTGCAAATATTGAACATTAAAAGCCATGGCGGACTTTGTGTGCATTGTGCATAGGCGCTGCGCAGCAATTGTCAACAGCTATGTTGCAATGATGTAATTAGACAATTAGTGTGGCTTTCACACCCGGCCGGCTGCAATCGGTCGCAGCACATTTCGGGGCGAAGTTGGCTTGGGAAGGCGACTTTGAAGGAGCGGCGGATGCATACTAGCGTAATGTGTGTGCGCGTGTTTGGCAATTAAGTGGCGACAGCAGCAATGCGCTAGCCGATGCGGAGAACCAGTTTAGTGGCGTTGCTGATCGGCTTTAGCCACGCTATCAGCATAAAGCACCACGGTGGCGATCAACGACTGCAATGGTGGTGCTCTGGTGAATGTTGGCATACACTCGCATGTCGGTACATACTTCCGCAGAGGCAAAGCGTGGCTGAAATGGCCATAGACCTACACCACAGCAATTGCATATCTATGTACTACTTGTGTTTTTAGTTTTGCTATTTCTTTTATTGCAATATTTGTTTTTTTTTTTTTACTTTTCTGTGATGATCTCTTCTTCATTGCCCGTTTAGTTTTTTGTCGGTTTTCTTTTATTTTTTTTATTGGATGCACTTACCTTATGCTTGCACGTAACTTGTACGTGATATACTGTATCTGGCCAAAGGGATAATTCAACAGTAGAACTATCAGTCAATAGATTGCCCATTAGACCGCCTCCGGAGACCTCCCAAGTGACCAGACACTGTTTCGATGCATTCGTAATCGCCTGATCCCAGGCAATGTTCGTCAGCACGAGCGAGCCTTGGCGCAATGCTGAATTAATGTTCAGCGGGAAGGGACCCAATTGCTGATCGCAATTGTTCCAGCACTGCAAAGAGAAAGAAGTGAAGACAGCGAACTTTAGCAAATGAAAATAAATGTTGTTTAAAGAAATACAAAATAAGCTACCAACTGTACTAAGCGTTCGATTAGTACAAGAGCAAAAAATAAAAATAAAAAAAATACGCGATCGCGATAATCGACCCAGAGCGGAGACTAGCAAATAAAAACCACGAGAAAAGAAGAGATCAAGAATTTAGCTTCAAAGTTGTGTTCGTCGATGTTGAAGAAGGAGTAGATACACGTAAAATTTATGTTCGCGTGTGTGCTGGCCTGGGTCTGTGTACTGCGCGTTGTAATTGAAATTAATTTGTGGCATGTTGTTGGTTTTGCAGTTAAATTGCCTATACTTCAGCGGCATCAATCGTTGCTGTTGATTGTTGGTGGCTTTGCTGCACTGCACGGCAATTGAGGCAGAGTCAAAGTTCAGCGCAGCGCAACGGCATTTAACCCGTTTTAACCCATTTTATGCAAATTACCGTAGACTGTTTGCTGCACGACCGAGACACAAACAGACGCAAAGGGCATGGGTGGTTGGCCGGCTGCTTGGCTGTTTGGCCGTTTGGCTGACTGCCCGGTCGAGGGAGGAGCAGCGAGCGATGCGTTCGTGGCGATAAGTGTTGCAAGCACAGTTGTTGCTTTTCGTTTCATTTTCTCATAAAAACAAATATTTTTAAATGCTTGCCTACCTGCTGGCCCATCATGCGGCACATACGCAGCTTTCGCGCACCACAAACACAGCATTGGGGGTAATGAAGCAAAGAGGCACGAAGAAAATTATGATAAACTTTTGCTGGTGAAAGACAAAAGTTGTAAAGCAGCAACAACAAAAACCAAATGTTCAGTTGTTTGCATTGCCAAATAAGGCTAAGTGTGCTGCTGCTGCTGCTGCTGCTGTTGCTTTTGCTGATGAGGTTGCAACACGACGCAGATAAGAATGTTGCACAAACGATTTGCCACTTTTTCGTTTATTTACTTTGTTTCAATTTTGTTTACTGCATTTGTTGCATCAGCAGCAGCGATCTTTATTAGTTTGTCATGCCAGAGCGGCGCAGCATGCAACAGAAAGCCAAAAAGCAAAATAGTTGAATGAAAGTAGACAACAAAAAAAAAACAAAGATGTGGCATGCGCAATTGTAGGAGGCGGCGCAATTGCTGTTGCACAGTAGCCGCAGATTTTGTGTTGTGCAACATGGCAGTTGGGAGGCCGCCGCCAGCCCGCCGCTAACTTGCTACTTGTATTTGCTGCAGATAAGATAAGCGCAGCAACCGGCAGTGGGGCGCTGTGCTGTCGAACAGCTTGCCACATGTTGTTGCTTCGCTTGATTTTCTTTGCAACGTACTTTGCTTAGCAATTTCTAATTTGTGGCAGCCTAAGTAGTTGACGAAAAAGTTGTGCAGCAACAGGGTGCTGTGTCAAGTTGCAAGTTCCTGAAACTAACTACTAAGTACTCAGTGCAGCAGTTAGATTAGATTAGATTTTAAATGATTTGATGTAAAGACAGCGTTGCTGTAGCATGCGGCTTACAGTTATGTCATAAAATGGAATATTCAAAAAAAGAAGGTTGAACAAAAAAAAAATCCATTCAACAGTTTGCCAAAGTCTTCTTGTTCGCAGCGATGTCTCAGATGTGCATGCGCATGTAAAACCCCTCTGTGGCAAGCACTCTAGCTAGAGCGGGTGGCAACAGCGCACCGCACTTCATCGTCATTCGCATGCGAATTCGCGTTGAAATTGACGCCGACTTAGAATTTTGTTGGCAACCAACTTTCGCCATCGGCGGATGCTGCACATACTTGCAATTTTTCATTTGGTTGCACGAAAGCAACAAGCATTTAATATGCAACTTGCTTTCTGAAGTGTGTTGCATAAATGTATGAGCAACTACATAGAGTACTCGTGCTGGAGTGTATGTAGCTCAGTTATTAAGGAAGCAATACATGTGGCAGCTGTTGCTGCTCTGCTCTAAAATTCTGACAACAAGGAATTTAATATGATATGAAAATTGAGTTAGCATGTTGTTGCATGTGTGACAACAAGCGTATGTGTGTGTGTGGTAACAAGCAGCGGGAACTTGTACAACAGCAGCGACATCCAGCAAACTTACTTTCTTGTGGCATGCAACAGAAACTGAAGAACATTTCTTTTTGTATAATATCAACAACAACTCTGCGCTCCCACAAGCCTTAGGTAATTTTGCATTTTTGCGGCAACTTGTAAACCTGCCGCACACACACACACACACACACACACACACACACACACACACATACGCGCAACCACGTACGAACACAAATGTGCGCTTGAACGCCGCAATGTATGCAATGCTCACTCAACGCATACGCATAAATATTTTAACAGCTTATTGAGCGCCAAAGTGCTGGCTGGCGAACGCGGGAGGAAGAAGAAGCGATGTTGAAAAAGAAAAGCCAGGAGCGGAGAAATGGTTGAGGATAGAAGTAGTGTAAGTTCGTTACGAAAAATCCGTTGAGGCAACAAATTTTTTCAGCTGCTCTGCGGAACGGCAAGCACCTTGTCGTCAGGTATGTATGCTTGTGTGTGCCAAGTACTATATTAAAGAAGATCACTGCAAAAAATTTAACATCAAAAAGTCAAATATTTCGCATGTGTTAACCGCTGGCAACACATTTTTCGGAAGTCTAAGTTGTGCGCATATTATTTAGTGAACCCATCCGCCAGCTTTGGGTGGCCTTGCTTCCAAGGGTTTCTTTAGAGGAGATACACCCTGCTCGGGTTGCAGTTGCTGTTGCACAATGGTATTACAAACTTCGGCAATATTGCACGCATATTGTATGCATTCTATGGAATTTTGCCGAAAGCGCATGCAACTTTTCGCATGTTCGGTTATGATATTGAAAATTGTTTGCAACTTTTTACGAGCAATAAATTTGGTAATTTTTGTTCGCTTCAAAAAAAAAAGCGGCTAAGGAAAATGGTTTTTGTTAATCGTTTCTAATTATGCATAGTAATCTCTGAGTTTTACATGAAATGAAATAAAAAAATTTAAGATTCTAGTCGCTTGTCGGTCGTTTTTGCTATCGGTATCAATGTTTTATCGATATCGAATTTAATTATCGATATGAAGACTGTAAGATTTTCCGTATTGGCAAGGAAGACTAATGCTATCAATAAGTGTTATTGATTTAAATCGAAATCGAAATTTTTTCTTTCAAAAGTGAAAGAATTTAAAAACTTAAGATTAACATTCAGATTAAGATCAAAATTAAGATTAAAATGAGGATTAAAAAAAATATTAAAAAAATTAAGATTTCCATTAAGATTAAGATTTAGACTAAGACTGAGATTAAGATAACTATTCACTAAAATAAAAAATAAAAGTTATATGATATCGAGCCCTAAACGCCAAAAAGTCGTAAGCGACATTTTTTTCAAAATTTTCTTTTTGATGTAGAAATGTTTCTAGAGCATCTAAATGCCTTTCTGCATCAAAAAAAAATAAAATTTTGAAAAAAAAATGTCGCTGACGTCTTTTTGGCGGTTAGCAATCGATATGGTGAGCTTTGCGGAAACTTAGTGGGAAGAAGTTTCACTTCAGTCGCTTGCGGGGTCCACACAAAACTTATCGAAAAATCTTGCCAAAGTTCTTTAATACCTAAATGCCCATCTTTAAAACCTTTCGTGACCTGACCATGAAATGGTATAATAACTTTAGTCCGATATTATACGCACGAAAAAGAACACCAAAGTAATCAAAAGGACGAGCTGAGTTGATTTAGCCATGTCCGTCTGTGTGAACGCAATCTAGTTACTCAGTTTTCGAGATATCCGACTGAAATTTGGTAAGCGGTCGCATTCTTAATAATTTTTTCGGAATCGAGAAAATCGGTCCACAATCACATATAGGACCCATACATATTTATATTTCGAGGGTACTTTAAAAATACCAGCACCTTTCACAGCCACCGCTTTAAATTTCCTTTTATCCACATAACCTTTTCGCACTTTTTCCCAATTTCTGTGTATGTCCGCACAATTCTCCATAGACCTGCCACATTTACTACGGTCTTACCATTGCGGCAGCTTTGCTATTTACGCGAATTTCGCATAGTCAAAATTTTAAAACAAAGTGCATAATGCATATTTTATAAAACAGTAAGCGCGCTGGTAGAAGAACGAGCCAGCAGTAAAGGCACCCGCGGAGCGAAAATTAATTCAAACATACATAGGTACATATGTATCTACAGATATACAGATGTATGTACGTGTTTATGAAAGGTGAGGTGCAAATATGCATAAATGGAAACCCAAGCGGCAAACCGACTATGCGCTGAATTTATTCGAATTGCCAGCAAGTGTTGCTTTTGCATAGCTTACAGCTTACGGGCTTACATACATAAATACATATGTAAATGCATAAAATGCACGCGTGTGTATGTACTTGGACACATATAATAAAAACATTGTTAAAAAATTTGTTTTTGTATTTATTGCACTGGCCATTTTTTGTTTTGTTATTTTCCTTGATTTTATAGCTTTTCTGTTGCACTCATTACTTTTTATAGCACAATTAGCTGCGAGAAAAAAAAATAAGTGCTACAGTTCGCACACGCATACATTGAACGCTATGTATTCTACAATTTTTCATTTTGTTTTGGGCGAATGCGGACGATGACAGAGAAAAGGGATAAGCAGCGTGAGGAAGTGAGAATAATTATGTCGGAGAGTGAAAACATAATATATAGGTATGTATACCTTCAGGATGTATTCGGGCTGCATTGTTTGAAGCCAGATCATGGAGCATTATAGAAGAGGTAACTGGTCATACAGGACCTGAGTTAGTTGTGAAGAAATCAAGAAGTTGAAATGAAATCAAAAATGTGGAAACCTCTTTACTTCTATTTTAAAATTTTGAAATCCAGGCTCGCGACTTACATGTCCAACCTAAACAGCAGATGATCATCAGATACTTAATTTAGTTGAAGCCCATATAAATTTATATGGTGAGATTCAACAAATCGGTGCTGACTATCTTAGCATCTATCTGATCCAGCACATGAAAAGAGAGTTATTGAAAATGTATGAACTGAAAAAAGGTTTCTTGCAAGATAATAAAAATCCTTGTCAAATTTGATTAGAGAAACCCCAACAGAAGATATTGCCAATTTTACTGGTACTCAAAGTGGCTTACCGAGAATCTTCAAAAAACAAGAATTATTATTTGAGCGTCCCAAAAACATCTAAAATTAAGTTTTTGTTTGACTATGCTGATGCCGACGGCCGCTGTGGGTGAGTGGTTAGAGGTGCATACTATCACTCTATAGGGCCTAGGTTTGATTCGAGGCAACGACAAACCAGTGAGTCTATTTCTTCGATGAAATGGCTTCTCACAAAAAACATTTGCCGTTCAGATACTGCAGTGAAAAAGCAAAAAGCGCCAAGAATAATACAAACCGCAGTAAATGAAGAAGAAAGCAAGAATCAAAATACTTATTTAAAGCAGTAGCCACCGTAAAAAATAACCCGCAGGCAAAACTTTTTAAAATTCTCTGATTTAAAGCAACATTTTTAGTAAGTCTTTTTCACTGATTTTTAACTGCGGATTAACCTTATTTCAAAATTATAGGTAAATAAAATAAAACAGCTTACTAATTGTATTTGTTATTGCATAAAAGCACTTAAATTATAAAAAAAATTTACTAATCCAATTGCATTTAGTGAAAATAAGAAGTTGCTATCCAAAGGCAATCGTAATACTTGCTTTTTACAAATAGTACTAAAAAATAAAACTATATAACAATGAAATGGGAATATTAAAATTTTTGGGACTTTTCGTATCTCTTTCAGTTAACTTTTTAGTGGAAATGGCATATTGCAGTAAGCTTTGTTTTTAAAAATTTTCGAAGCATTAAAGTTGATGAGATTTTATTGAAAGTATAACAAAGCGAGGTATCTTTAGTGAATGCCCGTAACATAGCTTATTGCTAATGGACCTTTGATTGAGCAAATAAAAACTATTCCTAAAAAAAAACAAAATCAGTTCATCGAATATCCGGCAGCGGGAGGTAAGGTCGGACTGAACTAATTTGATCAGAACGATTTTTAAAAATATGTTCTTTAAAGCATTTCTTTGTATTTCTAAAGCGTTTGCTAATTGGATACACCCGATCTCCTACATTGGCAGCCACAGCACTGCTAGTACTCGGATATAATGCAACAATGTTTGTACCGGATGTGTACCCGCACATAAATAAAAGCCATCCTCATCATCAAATTAGTAAAAGCACTAAATAAATACAAAGCAGCTAAGCAATAATTTTGTTGTTGCTGTTGACTTTAATGTATGAGCATGTATAAAAAGTTAAGTTAGTTCGCACTCACCAGAAAACTGAACGCTTCTGGGATATAACTATTGATATTAGGTGGTGTGATGCACATCTGTAACGTAAAAAGAAGAAAAAGAAAGAAATTTTGAAGTTGATTTCGTTTTCTCTTTTTTTTCATTAAAATGTCTGTTTTTTTTATTTTTATTTAAAATGAAATTGCAGTTTTTGTAGCAGATATGTATGTATGTATTTTAATTGCATAAAAGTTTAAATTAGGTTTTGCAAGCTGTTTTTTTTTTTTTTGTGTGGTTCTACATATTGCTTTCTAATTGCAAATGGATTTGTTTTCGTACAGTGGGCGAACTGAATGAAACAAGCGAAGAGTGGTGTTAAATGCAACAAAACGGAAAAAGGCAAGCAAGCGATAAATTGAAAAATGAAAATTCCAAAGGTGAATTTAACGTTAAATGTTTGCTTTTTGTTTTTTGTTAAAAATAGTAGTTGCGGGTGCAAAAAAAGTATCTATATTTGGAGATGTGTTTTTTCGGATTTGGTTGCAGGAAAAACTCAAGGCTACATGCATATAATAACAAAGAGGAGTGAAATTGAAATCAAAGATTAAATAACTTGCGTATTTGGCTGGCATGCTGGGATTTTTCCTGAAATAATTGCATAAGAAATATCAAGTTTCTATGCTTTACTTCTAATTTATTTTATTCAAAAATTATAATATACTATTATTTAATAAAATAAGGTTGTATGTATGCATACCATTTGCATTTTATTTACGGCATTCGTTTTTGCAAATTCAAAAATTTGTAACAAAAAAATTGGTTTCCTTTATTTTAAACATTGATATACTATACTTAAAGACAATATTCATACACGAATACAAACACATGCAGCGCGATTTGTGCATAGATATAGGTAAACATATGTAAATTGTATTAAATAAATTATATTTCAACTTTGGTCTTAGGCGGGTATCTCATGCATTGCTGGGAGTGTGCAATTTTTACGGCAGGGAGGTGGTGGTTGAAGGGCATGGCGGATACTATTGTTTGACTGAGTAGAAATGGTTGCTGCGTAACTCAATATTATAACAAATATTAATATTAATATTATAACAAAACTAGCTTAAACCCAGTATAACACTTATTCTTCTTCAGGTGCCTTAAAGATAAATATTATTGTCATACAAGCAAATAAAAAAAATTCGTCGTATTTCGAAAAAATTTTCTTTTTTTTTGGCCAAACCTAGGGGTCTCCATTGGGCAAATTTTTTTAAATATCTCTACTGGAGAAATGAAAATACTTCTTTGCAAACGTTTAATATTTTTGGTAGAGCTTTAATATACTGGCATTAGAGGGTACGTTAGGGTGATAACAACTGAGCTATAGTCAATTAACTTTGAAACAAAAAAATGTTTTCCCTACGCTCGGAAATTTTTATTTTTATTTTAATTTTTTTAATTTTCTTGCAAAATACTTTGCATTAGAAGGTGAATAGCGAACTTACACCTGTACAAACAACATAAAATAATTTTTAAAACTTTTCGTTGGATTTTGGTAACTTTTTTTTTACGATTTAGGTAACAATAGAAAACCACGCTGTTTAGTGGACATTCACAAAAGCAAAGGGGTCATACACGATTTTCCAGCCAATCAGCATCTTTGATGGGCAAATTAAATTCTTCTTATTTCATTTTAGAAATTTCATATTCGAAACTGATTTTTTTTTTTTTAACTTTTTCGCGAGTATCAATCGTTCGCCTTAGGCACCAAAGCCTTCAAATAAATTATTGACTATACGTACATACATATGTACACACGAGTATATTTAGGTTGAACGTATGTATGTATGTATGTGCATACATTTATTAATATGTACCTATTAAATTAGTGTTTTTTTTTCCAATCGACAACTTTCCTAATTAACATCGCCAATTCGACAATTTGCTGCTGTTGCTGCTCTTTGTTGTTAACCCTGATTAGTTGGTATTTGGGATGGGGTGTGTTGCATTGTGTCTTTGAACCAACAAGCGTACGAACAAAAGCTTTGACGTGTAACTTGTCGTTTGCCGCTATTTGTCTTATGGATAAATTTTGATTACTACATTATTTAAATGCCTAATTAACAACCTAAATACGCATAAATTATAATTTTAGGCAGACAACAGGTAGGAAGTCAGTTCATGCGCCACACCACCGAATCGAAATTTAATCCAAAATACAAATGTATAAACATTCTTACATACATACATAAACATGTATGCATGTTGAGGCTGCACGCAATCTACACATTCACAACCGACAAAATTTTTGTTATGGAAACTATTTTGATTTAATTAAAAACATACACATACCGACGATGTTTTCAGTTAATATTTACATTATAAATTTCGATAATTACTAACAAGCTGTTGTTGTTGCAGTTGTTGCTGTTGCTGCTGCTTTTACTTCAATACCTATGTACATACATATGTACGTGGCTAACTAACTGCCGAGAGAGTATCTTATACTAGGTAAATATGCAAAATTTATAATCTGAATTTGAATTGTAATGGGAGTGAAAATGCGTAAGCGAATGATAAGCGATTTATGTGTGGTTACATGAATACTATTTGACAATTTATGCATGACAATGATTAATGACAACGAAAGCGGCAAACAGCTGGGGTGATGAGTAAATCTAAGCGCGTAATGAAGCGCTAAATGATGAAGTGACTGGTTGGCTGAGTGAGCTGAGTGAGCTGAATGGCCGAGTGTGACCGCCTGAGAGTGTTGGTTTCTTGAAGTGGCAATTCAGGCTAAAGGAATTTTGTATTGTTGTATGAGGGTATGTATATATGTTTGTATGTATGAATGAGAATAATTTTATTTGAGTGACATTGTGTTGCTTGCCTAGGAGGCTGGGCTGGTTGTTGACAGCTGGGCAGAGACGAGCAGTTGTTGTGCATTTTGCAACTTGAAGTGCTGGGCGGTGTGTTGTCCAATAAGGAGTTGAATTTAATTAACTCAATGAAAGTGGTTTAGCTAGTGCAAGTGGTTAGTTAAATATCCATTTAGGTATGTGCATAGCTGTGTGTTCTTATTAGACTAATAAAATCAAGTAAACAAATTAAAGCGGACGTATCAAAAAACTAAAGTCCACATCATTCATTTTACGTTGAACTATTTTAAGTTGAGCAGAGTTAGTGGATGTTGCCCAGATTGATTGCTGTTTCGGGAACAAACTATGTTTGTATGTAAAAAGAAAAATTTATATGCACTTATGTATGCATATACATACATATGTATATATCCAAAGTATTACACCAATAAAAGCGAAAAAAAACTTTGCTCTTGAGTAGAACCACTTAAACCTTAGCAATAAAAACTTAAAAATGGTAGACCACATGCCAATCTCAACTCAAGCACACACACACATTTGAGTGATGTGAAAAATTTCAACAGCGAATACAAAACAAGTAGGAGATGACTCGTAGAATATTTGAAAATGTGTAGCAATTTCCAAGAATATCAAATGACAACTGATATTTGATGGCATATCTCAAAATTGTGTCCTCAATTTTTTGCTACACATATAAGAATATCCATATGTATGTACGTATGCAAGCGTGCACAGATTTATAAGCGCTAAATGCTGAGTGCTTATACGAGTAGATATGTATGTATAAAAGTTGTCGAGGATTTGATTTTACATAAGTGGCGCTCTCAAGCGGCCACCAGACACCGAAAAGGATATTGCCGAGGCAAGTGGCGGCATAAAGGCAACCACATGCACATACATACATACGTACATAAATTCAAAAATGTATATTTGTGGGGGTGTAAGTGTACAGTCATAACTCTCCTATGTATATATGAAAGTAACTGAGCATATGTACTTCGGTGCTGAATTTAAATTTGTCAGTACTCGCACGAACACAACCAGACGCACAAGGCCCCACAGAGCATTTTAGGCAAATTGTTGTCATATGTCTTCAATTTCTTTTTGCTCTTAAAGCATGTGTGTCTGTTGCTCCACAGCAACTGGCCATATGCGTAAAATATTTAGGTTCGTCATTCTGTCGGGATGGCCACAGCCACAGCCACAGCCACTAGTCAGTAGGTAGCATGTCTGTGGGGAGTAATTTTCTGAATGAGTTGAAATTGAAGGCATGACATGAAATTTTAATTAAGTGCTTGTACGTGTAATTGGAAATATCATATGTACGATATATGTAGTTACACATATGTAGAGATTTTAAGAGTAGGACAAGTTACGAGATTTTCATATAAAATTCCTCTTCGGCAGATGGCTACATACAAAATAAAGTCTTTGTTGGTCACTGCGCTGACCCAAAATAGGCCAACATTGTTCGGTAATATTGTCATAAATGCATACATATGTAGTTATTGTAAAATCACAGATATATGTATGCACTTACATACATACACATGTACATATTTCAGTTTTTGCTTTGTCTTTTTTTTCAATACTTGTTAAAATGAAATGCCTGTTAATTACATTGATTAACATTTTAATTGCATACTTTCGGAAGATTTAGCACGGCTATGTATTTTGCGCGTAACGCGCTCCGAAATTAAATAAAGAAAATTTAACAGAAATTCGTAAATACCAACAATTATTCTCTCTGGTAAGAAGATGATACCCGAATGAGACGGGAAAACAATTTTTATGCCCCTTCCTTGCCATCGCCATTATTAGTTATGCTTTCAGAAGGAAAAAGATCTATTAAATAGAGCAAAAACATATCAGACTACCCTTCGGACCGGAAACATATCAGATTAACCGAATTGGCCTGCCCAGAGACAAAATGCGGGCACTGCTTCGGAAGCGATGGGCCGTTTGGCACATTATTTTCTTATCGCCCGGCCCTGGAGTGGCAATTATGAAATATATATTTTTTACTACTGCTTAATGAGTGAGTGAGTGAGTGAGTATGTTTGTTGCTCTTTCGCGCTAAAACAGCTGAACGTATTTCAATGCACATTGCCACCTGGTAAGAAATTCGAAATCAAATTAATCAATAAGATAAACTAAAAAATTTAATGTGGGTACCTAACAAAGGAGAAACTATTTTAGAAATGGGGCTGCCACTTCAT